TTTAATTTATTTCTTTTTAGGGGTGGTGGTGGGGGTGGTAGGGGGCTGGAGGGAGGGGGGTGGGTCGGGTGAGGGTGGGATAAAAGAATTGAAGTTGAAAAATATTTTTTTAAAATAAGCTTTAAATTTACTTTTTCATCAACAAAAAAGTTGTAATTTGAAATTGATGGAAAGTTTTGGAAAATGTTTTCTTTGATTTTTGAAGGGAAGTCATTTTCCTTGAATTTGAGGAAAATGAGTTGATTTGGAAAATATTTTTCAAAATATTTAACCCAACCAAACATGAGAAAATTAGAAAATGTTTTCCTTCATACCAAACGCACCCTTAAATTCCAACAACAAAAAAGAACATTAACTTATTATAGACTGGCATCTGCTCCAACCCGAAAAAAAGATAGGAAGGTGTTCATATGAACCACATTATTGAATTTTACTGGCACAATTTATCAAAGACCACTTAGAGTTATAGAAGATAACATCTTAAGGGCTCGTCTGGTATGAAGGATAATGGATAACTAATTCCTGGCTTAACCCATGTTTAGTTGGGATAAAAATCCGGGATAACTTTCACCAACCAAAATGTCAAACAAGGGAAGGTCATACTGATCACTGACAAATAGATTGTTTTTCAGGTCAAACAAGATGAGTTAATAGTGCTAATCAACTTGAAGTGGAAGAAGGACATTTGGATTGATATACTAAATTAACTGTTCAAAGGCCACCAAGAACATAACATTCAAAGAAGAACAAGACCCTTAAAGTATCACAAAGTAGAGTTTCAAATGCACTTCACTCGTTCAAGAATGAAGAATGAGTATTTCACCATAAAACATAATGAAAATAACAGAGATTTTGATCTTACTTTGGATTTTCTCTTTACAAGAAGTTCTACATAAACTCAATATTTATATATGTACATCTTTCTATGAATAATGACTTGCTTTAATTACACTTTATATGGATGCAAGAGCATAAACTCAATCCTAGGAGCTTTTTAGTTGTAAGTGAAGCTATTGGAAATCTATGAAAGTGACGGGAGCTATATCAGATACTCAAAAATAAGAGCAGCTACCTGAAGACAACCACATCGCCGACGAAGAAGTTGTATTTTTTGTAGACAGTTTCTCCACTATAACATCACAACAACTGATTTAGAGTTTTGATGTTTGTTCACAGCAGGAAATATTAAAAACTTAAAAGAGAGTTGTTAAATTAGGTCTTAGGCCTAACTCACACCCCAAAAGCTAGCTCAAAGGGAGGAGGATTGCCCTAAGCCTTATAAGGAGTCCACCCATCTCATTAACCACCGATGTGAGACTTTTGTCATTCTTTAACACCCCACCTCACGCCCAGTGCTTAGCATCTAGTGCGTGGGCAATTTTGATTTTGGGGGTCCCAACATCGGGGGAGACGGACCCTGCTCTGATACCATGCTAAACCATATTAATGGTTTATTGACTACAGTATAGAGAGCATTTTGAGTAAGAAGAAGAAGAAAAAGTGTTTTCATATATGAACCAGATCCAAGTTACAACTATTTATACATCACAATTATTGTAACTAACTTTGTACTCTGCAAGTGGGCATAACAACTTTCACGTGACTACTTAACCGACTCAACCAATTCTAATTATAAACCACCGTATTATTTAATACTCCCCCTCAAGCTAGGATGGAAGACATCAAGGACTCCTAGCTTGGAAAGAAGAAATTGATGTTGTACAATCCCTAGACCTTTTGTAAGTAAATCTGCTAGCTGAGATTTGGTCCCCACATATTCAGGCTTGATCAAGCCATCTTTGATCTTCTCTATTATAAAATGACAATCAATCTCGATATGTTTAGTCTTCTCATGAAAGATTGGATTGATAGCAATCTGCATACCTGCCTTGCTATCACAACGGAGTCTGACTGGTGTAGTAATGTCTACCCTTAGGTCCTTTAATAATCCAGTTAGCCAAATAATTTCTGCTACTGTGCCTGCTATGCTCCTGTATTCAGCCTCTGCTGAGCTTCTACTGATAGTATGTTGCTTCTTTGACTTCCATGAAATTAAAGAATCTCCAAGTTGAATTACATACCCTGTCACTGACCTCCTGGTGTTAGGGCAACCTGCCCAATCTGAGTCACAGTATGTTGTCAAGCTTGTGATAGGTCCTCTTGTCAATAACACCCCTTGCCCAGGTGTTTGTTTGAGATATCTGAGAACTCTCAATGTTGCATCCCAATGTGACTTCTTGGGATGTTGCATGAATTGACTGAGGACTTGGACTGCAAAACATATATCAGGGCCTGGTGATGGTCACATAGATCAGTTTCCCAACTAATTGCTAATAACTGTGAACATCACTTAACACGTGATCTTCAACACCTCCAACTACTGAGTCATACTCCAGTGTAGTAAGCTTTACATTCATTTCCATAGGAGTCGAAGCTGGCTTAGCTCCTGTTATTCCTACTGTGGAGAGTAATTCCAAAATATACTTTCTTTGGTTAAGTAGAATCCCTTTTTCTGACCTCAATACTTCAATCCCTAAAAAATACCTGAGCTGCCCCAAGTCTTTCACTTTGAACTTGCTATGCAGTGTCTTCTGAGCATCATCTATCAGTTGTTGGCTGTTTCCTGTGATCATTAAATCATCAACATAAACGAGAATTACAACTATGTCATTACTACACTGTTTAGTGAATAAGGAATAGCCATATGAACTCTGAATGTATCCTGCTTCCAACAAGGCAGTAGATAATTTGATATTCCATTGTCTAGAAGCATGTTTCATCCCATACAAAGATTTCAACAACTTACACACTCTAGTCTCCCCCTGTCTGTGGAAACCTTGAGGTAATGACATGTAAACCTCTTCATGTAAATCACCTTGAAGGAATGCATTATTAACATCCATTTGAATCAAAGGCCAGTCCTTAGATGCTGCAACACTGATTAGAGTTCTCACTGTGATCATCTTAGCAACAGGGGATAATGTTTCATGGTAATCTAACCCCTCTTTTTGTGTATATCCTTTAGCAACCAACCTTGCCTTGTATTTATCAACAGTCCCATCAGCCTTATGCTTTATTTTAAACACCTATTTAGAGCCAATAGCTTGTTTGCCTGGTGGTAAGTCAGCCACCTCCCAAGTGTGATTACTTTCCAAGGCACAAAGCTCATCAGTCATAGCTGCAATCCATTTAGAATCTTGAGATGCTTCTCTAAAGGTTTTTGGTTCAACTTGAGGGGAGAATGAACCCAAGTATGCTTGGTAAGGAGGGGACAAATGTGAGTATTTGAGGGAATCAGAAATAGGATAGGAACAACTGGCAGATTGTGGCTTAGCTTTAGA